TTGTGTGTGTCAAAAAATATACGTAGAAGTGTATTTTTGTCAGAATTCATGTCTAATTAACCGTCTAATACATTGAGATAACTAATAAGCCCTTTACTTTTTTTCTCTTCCTTCAGGCCACAGTTGCAGCCTTCGCAGCCAGTGAAGGTCACTCTCACCCGCGGGTGGTGGAGCTACCGAAGACGGAGGAAGGGCTGGGCTTCAATGTGATGGGCGGCAAAGAGCAAAACTCACCTATCTATATCTCCCGCATCATTCCTGGAGGCGTAGCTGAGAGGCACGGCGGCTTAAAGCGAGGGGACCAGCTCCTGTCTGTGAATGGAGTGGTGGGTCTCGCCAGACTAACGTTCTGATCCAGCATGTGGGAAAAGAGGATCAATGGATTGAAAGTAGAGTGTAGATAAGCTTTTCAATCCATGTTTAAGCTTGTTTCCAAAAATATATTTTTAGCAGCTTCTTGCCATGTATATGATTTCTAGTTTGATATGCGAGTCAAAAATCACAGGAGTTATTGAGGTCGCAAGGTTACACATGTTGTGAATAAGTAGCAGAAATTTCTTCAGCTGCTGGAGAGATATGAGCATCATACACTGTAAGCTAAGCCTTGTCATTTCACTTGATCGTAAGGCAATAATAGTGGAGAAAAAAAAATTTTTTTCTTTGAAGAGTTACTATTTTTAAAAAATATATATATATTAAAATCAGCCCCCTTTAATATTCTACTCTTTCCGCGGCTCTGAAACCCCTGCAGAGTGTAGAGGGAGAGCACCACGAGAAAGCGGTGGAGCTACTGAAGGCAGCCAAGGACAGCGTGAAGCTGGTGGTTCGCTACACCCCCAAAGTGCTGGAGGAGATGGAGGCCCGCTTCGAGAAGCTGCGTACGGCCCGGCGGCGTCAGCAGCAGCAGCTCCTCATGCAGCAGCAGCAACAGCAGAATCTGGCCTCTCAGCAGAACCACATGTCGTAGGTGAGGCGCTTCATTGCTTTAAGGGTGAGGGGTGGGGGGAGGTGGATGCCAAAAAAGGAAAAGGAAACACTACCTCTGAGAACTTTACTTTAAAAAGTTGTGTTCATGCATGTTGATGAAGATTAGGTAAGGAAATTGTCCCGCTGGAAAGAACTGAAATTTAACAGAATGAGGAGTGTTGCAGCCCAGGTTGAGGTCGAAACGCCACTAATAGCTCATCAGGATCGCCTGATGGCACAATGCCATCAACTTTGCTTTGAATAGAAATCCACAATACAGTAGTTGGTCCACCAACTGGACTTCATTTAGAGTTAAAGTGAAAAGCTACCAAATACAATTTCAACACTTA